TGCTGACTGACCCTAGAAAAGAACTGCCAAGCCTAGCCTTTTTTTGGTGGACCCCTGCAAGGGACATGATTTTTTTTTAGCTGATCAACCTTTTCTAGGTCCATGATCTGACACCTGAGTGATGAAACATTGTGCAATGAGTTTTCTAACATTGACATTGAAAGTGTAAGTGTCCTCATGCAATTTTTACTTTTTTTTAAATAATGTATTGTATAAGTTGGATCACTAGAGATCACCAAAGCCTAAAAAAAGAGAGAAAAAAAGATAATCCCTACCTATCGACACCATTGTTTTCAGGACTGAAAAAGGAAACACAGTCAACCTTTTTTCCCTAGGCCCTGCCATTGTCTACTCTGAAAATCTTTGATGCATGCATACAATGATGACTGACTTGCTTTAACCTGGCTGTTGTTTTTCCTGTTGACCAGGAATATTGCCGGACAACATCGATGAGCTTGTGTCAGGGGAGGACAAAGTTCTGGCCTCCATCCACCATGCCGATGGGAGGCCATCCTGTCAGCTCAGGTGAGAAATAACTAAGGGCCTGGTTACATTTGTTGTACAAGCATTCCCAAACTCTTAGGATAGTTGTGCATATCTTGTACAAAATTCAGCTGTTAGGTTAAAGCTCGCGTAGACCCAGACTGAGTGGTTGGTTCTGTCAAGTTTACTTGATAATTCTACGACATCAAATCGTACGACAACTTACATCAAATATGCTTACTTAAGATGACAATTTAATGCAGTAGCGAACAGCCAGTGTCATAAAAATGCAATGTGAAATGACACTCCTTCAAGTGTTGTTAAGTGTAGAAATAAACTTGTTTATTTGACCCTTGATCACATAGTTAACTAGTTGTAGCATGGCTAATTAGAAGCAGGTGGGTGGGAGGCAGGACCGGGTCATTCCCGGCCTGCCAGTGTTGGAAGCGGTTGCAAAAATTATTAATTGTGTCACAAGATGTGTTACAGTTGGGTCATTTCCTAAATGGTTGCGTGACTTGAGATGTTAACGCTTGTTTTATTCCTTCTTCAGGATGTGTGATGTCCCTGCATTAGAGCTGGAGAAATTCCTGGAGGATGTCAAGTGAGTGTCTATTGATATCAAAGGGTGTTGTGGATAGTAAGTAATGAGTGTTCAAAAGGTAAAAGATCCCACAGCCTTCTTTTCAGGCCATAGGGGCAGTTTGTCATTATTCCATTGTGTCTAGGGCATGGATTTTGGAAGATGTAGTCCAATTTGAACTCAATTTCCAACAGAAATCTTGGACTTTCCAAATTTTCAACTGTTCAACTCCAGTCTTTGTCAAGGAACGAGCAGTTATGTTGTGATATGATGTCACAGAAGCGTTTGATTCCTTATTCCTTGACATTTAACTTAAAGATGGGAGTTTAACAGTAACAAATTTGGGGATCTGGAAATTACGGTTCAAAAAACCTGTTTCAGAATGACTAATCTACCAACACAGATGGACTTTCAAGCTAACCCCTGTCTTCTCTCTTCCCCCAACCCGACACAAATGGGATCTACCCCCTGATGGCGTTTGCCATGCCCCACCCACAAGTGTCCAAACCCTCCCTGCCTCCCCGTTGTGTATGTTATCGCAAGGTGGAGCCCAGTTTGAAATGTCTTTTTTCTTCCCTATTCCAGATATGGCATCTACCCCCTGACGGCATTCGCCATGCCCCACCCACAAGTGTCCATCCCATTTTGTGTACATGTATGTTATCGCAAGGTGGAGCCCAGTTTGAAATGTAACCTCTATCTTTTTTTTCTCCACCCAGAAATGGCATCTACCCCCTGACGGCATTCGCCATGCCCCACCCACAAGTGTCCAAACCCCGGCCTGCCTCTCCAGAGGTGGCAGAGTCGGAGAAAAGTGCCACACCCGAGCCCGTGGAGATGGAAAACAGACGGGTGAGTGTTTTGTGCGGGCTCATGTGAGTGCGTGTGTGTGTGCTTGCTGCTTGCGTGTGTGTGTGCACATGCGGGTGCGTGTGTGTGTTTGTGTGCTTGCTGCTTGCGCGCGTGTGTGCACATGCATGTGTGTATGTAGATTTCAAGAAGTGAATATGTGTAAACTGGCGGATGAGGAATTATAGCCAGAGTGTGTATACACTACAAAGTCATGTTGGTGTCCATGTCTGACATTTTTGTTTTTCCCAGGTGAAAAAAATGAGCTGTGATGTCAAAGGTCCAGAAGAAGGACAAGACACTCTATCGGTAAGTCTTCATGCCTAGGGTTTATTTTTACAAGATTACGCAAAATATATTTTTTTTTTAAATACCTACAAATGTACATTGCCATGTTGGGTCTTTGGTTAGGTAATGCTCTTGATATTGCCATTGCCTGACTTGCATTCTTAGTATGAAAGAAGTAGGTACATGAATACTAGTACATTTAACTGATGTTTTGTATGTTCTCTCATTCCCTACAGTTGACCATTAGAATACGATTTGAAGACAAGATGAACAGACAACTGAGCTGTGAATTCAAGCCATGTAAGTAATTACTAGACTAAGTATTGTCCAATATTGTACCTTGTAGATAAATATTCTGACAAAACTGTCATTATGTAGCAAGTGCCAGGGCCTAGTCACCATATATACACCATTATGCTTTGCAAATGTTACCTTTTCTAGTGTTGATTATGACACCTCTCCTAAAATGTTCAAATTTAGGGTTTTCTCTTAGCATTTTCATGAAAATCTGCTGATATTTTCATCAACCGATTAGAGAGCACCTCTCCCCTATGAAATTCTGGGGAGACCCCTGTGATAACAATTTTTTTTTACTATTTTCTCCAGTGGAAGAGCCTTCTCTGTTGGCCTCCGAGCTGGTAGAGTACGGCTTCATCTGTGAACAGGACAAGGAGAAGATCGCCAAGCTGATAGAAGACCACATCAAGCAGCAGCAGCAAGTCCCACCCCTGCAAGTATCCCCTCCCACAGGAGTCACAACCATTGTGACCACAGCTACAACCACTGTTACAACAAGCGCATAGAAGAAGGTCTTATATTATATCATATCAGGGCTGTCTCCAGAGTTAACCCTCAGCCTCTCCTCCTGGTCACCCCTCCTGTTGTAGCCACAACCACTGTTACAACAATTGCATAGGAGAAGTCTTTTTCCAGGGCTGTCTCCAGTCTGAAACTTTTGTCTGTCCCACTCATTTTTTAAATTCCCAACTCTCTGAAATGCTCTAATTGCACAGTTTTTAGAAGCAAGTTTCCATTAATCAGCCATTGTAAGGCAGTGTTCGAAATACCTGTCTGCAGTCTGCAATCTGCAGATAGATTTTCAAGATTGCAGAAGAAAAATTTATACAATCTGCAATTTTGCAGCAGGAAAAATTGGCACTTGGGATTTGACACTTTTGGCCCCAAGGACAGACAACACTAATTTGCATCAACCTTGTCTTGACTTGTTTATCTTTTGTTTCCTTTTGGACTTCCAAAAATTTGTCTTCACTAATTTGCATATCATTTTCAATCAATAGTTCATGCTTATAAACTTGCAAGATTGTAGTATGGAGGCTTGTGTATTTGCAGAAAGTATTTCCAAATTGCAGAACAAAATTCTTACTCTTCTGCAATATTGCAGAGCACTGAAAAAAAGTATTTCGACCACTGTAAGGTATTTTTATGTCACAAAATTATGTCACAAAATTTGTCAGATTTTGGGGGGGGACAGAAGCTACAGCCAAGTGCTTGAAGGAGAAGTCTTATCCGGGCTGTCTCCAGTCTGACGCTTCTGTCTGTCCCACTCATTTGTGAAAATTTGAGGCATCCTTTTGGCAACATGTTTGTATTGGTTAGGCCACACCGACTTAATTTTATGGAGGACATCCGCGCGCGCATTGATTTTCGCCTGTCGCCCTCAAAAAAAAATCACGTCCACCGAGGCTCTTGCCTGGCTCTAGGCCTGGGTAGTCCATGGAAGTCAGTGACAATATCAATACAGGCCGAGCACCCAGGCTATCGAATTCGAAGCTCCGCGACTCAAGAACTCAGTACATAAGTACAGTGCCTATTCATAACTAAATAACCCAAAAAGCCAGCATGTGCTGGCTTGTCGTATACGTCGCTAAGTACTGTCGCGAACCAACTTTGTATTCCTGTGGTTTAGTAGCATTTTATTTTTGGCCGGAATTTTTTTTTTATTCGCCCGCGCGCACTAGTTTGGGGGTCTTCAGAGGATGTCATCCATAAAATTAAATCGGTGTGGCCTTATGGGGTTAGGCAGCAGGGTGAAGGTTTATCTATTATCTGTCTCATTTTTGAAGGCTCAAACGCAGTCTAAAATGCTACTTCACAGTCGCATTAATTTTGTAGAAGCAAATTTGAAGAAATTGGTCATATTGAGCCTAATCGAAAATCTATTTTCATGTCATGATTTTTGGAAATTTTTGTCCATCCCAATAAGCAAATGAAATTCCATGCTAGGACGAAGAGAAGGCTCTAGGAGGCAGCAACGATTCATCTACTCTCCTTTCAACTTCCTGATTTCATGGAGCTGCTTGTATTCCATTAGATTTGAATAAATTCGTCTGGCAGAAAGACAAGAAGAAATGATGATAATTAGGACAGGGTTTCAGCTATGCTGATGTTGAGCTTTATATAAGTGCCTGAAATGTTATGTAAATGTCTAACAAATATAGCCTATAGATCTAGCTCCTGGGGTCAACTATGGTGAAGCAGTGCCCTGATCATACTTCGATTTTGTTTAGTTAAAAAAAAGATGTTTCTGCTTTCTTCATTCAAGTGTTGGAGGACGACTGGGATGTTAGAAGGCTGATATCAACCTTACATGTACTTTGACACTTGTGAGATGCATATTGGAAAAGGATATGTTGAATCCACTGGTTGTCAAAGCTTAAAGCTGAGTTCCCAGTTTTTAGGAGTTCATTATATAGTACAAGCTTTGTGCAGATTTTAGTAATCACACATTCTAAACCTGCTCCGATTGCATCTTTTTTCTCAAAAGTTGAAACCCCAGACTCCATACTGCAACCTACTGTACTTGTTGAATCGGGCCAGTAGCCATACCAGTGCAGTTTTATGTATTAGGTATGACCAAATATGTATATATTATACATGTACATCGCCATATGTTAACCGTATGTTATTTTTTTTGCATTTGCTATAAGAATGCACATTGTATAATCTTAATTGTTACAATAATGATTAACAGTCTCAGGGCCCCAGGCGGCATGCTGCAATGTACCGAAAAATTTAACAACCAAGTCTCCAGATGGGCAAATGAATTCTGAGGAGGATCCTTATGATTATCAGGGTTCTAGCTAGTGTGAAGTAGCGTAGGGGCCCCCAACGCTATAATTTTGACCCCCTACGCTAAATTTCTCCCCCTACACTTTAATTTTGACCCCCTATGCTAAATTTTCAATACAGCATAGGGGCATTGTAACTATTTCTTTGTTCAAGATTGCCAGATCAAATGTGAAAAATTACCAATCAAGGATACATTGTACATACCTTAGAAATAACAATTTTTTCCCTTTGGTTATCCCTCAAATGGCCCCTTTTTTTAGCTCAATTTTTTTAAAAGCTCCACCCCATCCCCCCTCTCGGTCGCTTCGCTCCCTTGACATGCGGCCAGTACCACTACGCTAAAATTAAATCCTAGCTAGAACCCTGATTATATTAAAGAAAACTAATAGTGTCCCAAAGGAGACTAAGTGTTGAGGCCACACAATTTTAAGCCTGTCACACATGTCCGACTATGACCCCCCCAACCTTCTCCAGAACATGGTTGGGAGTTAAGCCTGTCACACAGTCAACCATACCCTGGGTGCCAAACTAGTATCGGGCCATTAGCCGTTTTCCTTCGGCAGCCAAGAGCCCTTCGCCCGCCTACTAGTATCTAAATTACCTCTACGGGGGAGTTGAGCCCAGGAGAATTTGTCTGGCCGGTAATTTAGACCCACGGGCAAAGGGCTCTTGGCTGCCGAAAGAAATTGCTAGCTGCCCGAAACGAGTTTGGCATCCAGGGTAAGTCAACCATGGGCTCCCCAACCTTCTCCAGACCGTGGTTGTGAGTAAGTTGTGGGTAGGGTCTTCTGTGGTTGGGAGGTTACCTACCAAGTGTTTAAAATTCATCTGTGCCAGCTAATTATGAATTTTGACGAATACAAATTTGCAAAATTATATTCTGCTACTCCCAAGCTTGGTTGGTGAGTAGTTGGGGGCCAAGTCATGGGAAGGTTCTGAATGTGTGACAGGGGCTTTACATGTACACATGAACATTATTTGCATCAATGCTTCACTGCCAGAACTGTTAAGAATCCAACTAGTGTTAGGTTGTCCTGCAGTAGATGTTACAAGCAGAAAAGAATATTACTTAGGCCTTACTGAATGGGAAACATTAAATACAGGCTTCAAGTTAGTTACAAAGTGCCAAAGAATTTCATGTGTATCTGAAATTTGCCACATACCTGAGCCACAGTTGTTTAATGTCATTGATGGTTAAAAAAATGTTAACAAGATCAACTAGGAGTATGCAGGGTTATTTTTCTCAGTAATTATCAATTATTAACTATGTTTATATACTAATTCTAGGTACTGTGTTAAAAGAGCAAAATGTACCGCCTGTCTGTATTATGTGGGGACAGGGAAAATAGGAGGGAATTTTTTTTTAAATCCCCAGCTTTAGATATGATTCCTGAAAGGTATAGGGGCCACTCAGAGGTAAAATATAGTAATGTCCAAGTGGTATTTTGTAAATATGTCCTATAATTTTAACAACTGAAGGCCTTGTTAATGTTTAGGTGCACAGTTAATAATGGTTAGGTGCACAGTTGTTAAGGTTGTATCGCATTAATATTGTTATTGCACATTCTACATACTAGTTATATTGCTTCATGTTCCTTTTCTTTTTTTTTAATATGATGTATTAACTTTTACATCTAAACTTAAAAATTGAGCCACTTCAAACATCCCATTACAAAAGCAAGACGACCAAAATTGCATTGCTGTATACTAAATAAAAGCAGTCAATATGAATGAAGTTGGCCTGACTTCCACATGCTTCTAGTAGCCCCTCCATTGGTCGGGCCCTTAGCCTGGCTACCATCCGGAGTTTTGCTCCGCAACGCTCAAAAAAAAAATTATCTTTAAAGTTTAAACTTTTGATCCAACACAAAGAAATCTCTCACCTAGAGCTTTCGACCAGTCACTCTGGTCTTCCTCAGTAGACTGACCCAGTGAAGCTTGTCACGTGGCTTG